AAGTAAATCCTGCAGTTGTAAAAATACTTCGTTGATTTGGATCAATTCCTTTTGACTACGGCTCAAAACAACCTCATGCTGTGTAGCAGCAACGGCGATAGGTACAAAACCGAAATGGGTTAACTTAGAACGATCATCAATCATACTCGATTCTTTTTTATTTCTCCATAATGTAGTTCTTGAAGTACCTGTGTAAGTTTTAGGACGACTGGATTGTCCGGTGATATCGACAAGAATTTTATTTATAGAATTCTTAACAATCGAAGTATCATTATGGCTTTCAGCTAAAGAATGCAATTCATCGACGTTTGTTGTGTTATCAATAGACATTTCTTCCCAATCATTAACATCAACAGATCTGGTCGTAAATACACCTTCTTCGTTTTTATTTTTATTAGCGTAAGCGCGTTTTCTCGCGTTGAGTGGGGGCATAATATAATAAAGTATACAGAGATAAGTGAAAAGAACTTTTGTGACGCTTTCTTAGAAATGTCAAAGTACTGATTGTTAATGAACATGTATGATTGGGTAACACGATAAATTTTTGATCGCGGAGATCAACTATAAGAAACTTTTATTCCATGCCTTTCTTTGACCTTCCTCGATATACATATACTCACCGCCTGGTTTTAAAAAATTGCTATAAAAAATTTAATTTATTGATGAATTAAAATTCGATGACAGAACAATTAATCCTTCATGATTTTATAATTGTAATCTGAAATAAAAATAGAAATAAAAGCTATATTGATAAAGTTGATAGCTTTGATAGAAATACATTGGATTTGCCCTCCAAATCTCGGGACTGTTTTCCCTCCTACAAAAATTATAAGCGCCCTAACAACTCTGATAATAAACAGACATTTTTATAAAATAAATTTAAAATCGATGACAGAAGAACTACTCTTTAATACTTTTATTATTGTAATCTGAAATAAAAACAGAAAAAAAAGTTGTATTGATAAAGTTGATAGCTTCAATAGGATCGACATTGGGTAAGTCTCCAAATGTCGGAACTTCATTGCCCCTCCCCCCACAGAAATTTATAAGCGCACTAATGACTGATATTAAACAGACATTTTTATAAATAAATTCAAAATCGATGACAGAAGAACTACTCTTTAATACTTTTATTATTGTAATCTGAAATAAAAACAGAAAAAAAAGTTGTATTGATAAAGTTGATAGCTTCAATAGGATCGACATTGGGTAAGCCTCCAACTGTCGGAACTTCATTGCCCCTCCCCCCACAGAAATTTATAAGCGCACTAATGACTGATAATAAACAGACATTTTTATAAATAAATTCAGAATCGATGACAAAAGAACTACTCTTTAATACTTTTGTTATTGTAATTTGAAATAAAAACAGAAAAAAAAGTTGTATTGATAAAGTTGATAGCTTCAATAGGATCGACATTGGGTACGCCCTCCAACTGTCGGAACTCTATTTAGCATCCCACAGAAATTTATGAGCGCCCTAACAACTCTGATGGTAAATAGACTTTTTTATAAATAAATTAAAAATTCTTCACAGAAGAAATGGTTGCCAACATTGCATCTAAAACTTAAAGCTATTGCGAAGTTATCACAATTAAAACTGATGAAGTTCATAGCTTTTTAAAAAAAAGTTACAGTTTTAGCCATTTCCTGCTGTTTTATTGGCTGAAATGATTGTCGGGTGTTAAAATTTACCTTATGCTCTTTTTGTTTGTTTCAAATGATGGGCCTCCCCTATACTCCCCCGCTTAAATATTTCAACACCGATAATGTTTGATGGCTATCACTAAAATTTTTTGATAACTAAAAATGTAAACTGTTTTCGTATTATTGTTTAAAAACATTGTTACAATCGTTCTTCTGTCAGCGATTTGTAGAAAAATGTTTTTTGGGGTATAAAAATGGATTTAAAAAAGTACAAAAAATTTATGAGGTTTAAGCTTGGTGGCACGTTAATAAGTCTTTACTTATTTGTGACATATAATTTATGATCGACAGATGACAAGTAGATGACCAAGTGCCGACAAAAAATTACTTAAATTAATGCATCTACGTGACACGATCATGACAGTACCTTTCCTCCTTCCAAATCTTCACGAATGTTGAGCATGTCCCAAAAAGAAGATTGTGCATGGGATCAATAATGCTTTGTATAACAACATTAAAGTAACCCAATCGATGCAGTTCGGAATACATTGTTCCATTTGCCCTCACGAGGTCCTCTCTTTCTTTCTCAGTAGTGGCATTGCGCCAACTCGACGCCGCTCGCAAGTTGCTTGCTTTCGATCGTTGAAGCCATTTACTGGCAGCAGTGTTGATTCCGGAAAAAGCAGGTCTACCTTCAACCAAGGGGAATTGACCTTCACACTAGTTACACGGATGGCCACTGAAATAAGCTGCAAAACCAGATACTTTCCTGCAAGCAGGGATATCGTATGCCAACATCAACAAAGCACAATGGAGTTTAATCCCGTCAGTTTTCGCCGTTGTTTTCAACATCACTCCTCTTTCTAATTCTAAAAGCTCAGCAACCAAGGGTTTCAAGTACGTGTTGATTCGGTCCAGTTTTGGCTCTTTTCCAACAGGCGTAAGCCCAGCCAGGATGATGTTTTCTTCCTTAAATCGGTCTTCTGTTTTCCAATTATTGATGCACTTGGAAATAGCACCACAAGAATAATTTACATTATCAAAAGGTTGAAACCAGTCGACATTTAACGTTGCATACAACGGTTTCGCAGTGTTGAAAATAAAATGCCGGTGTTAACCATCAATGCGTTGTACATTTTACCATCATATATGTCGTAATACGTTCCTTCAACAACATCTTTTAATCTCCAATCATTCATTGTAGATTCGAATTCGGGGCGAAGCTTGAACTCTTGCAACGAACTTTTGAGAGACTTGTAGGGGTAAACAAATTTGGGCTTGTAGATGCTGTTGCCATTACGTTTCTTTACCTGCTCAAACAAAAATTCATCACAAACATCACCATCCAGCCAGACAAAAGAACATGATTGTTGAGAGGGTGTTTTATCCTGCATTATAATAATTAGACGTTGATTTTAAGAACGTTAATTATTATACCTTGGTCACTTCAGGAGCATAGATTGAATGACATTTTCCGCAAACCGTATATCTGGTAACACCAGCATCCCAATCACCATTAAAATGTTTCTCAACTGTTTTGAACGACTTTGGCAAAGCAGATTGATTACTATCATTGGCATCCTTCAAAGCGATGTTCAAAAACTGGAGAAGGGTATCAGCAGCTTTATCAGTGAGGCTTTCCTTAATCTTAGAACTGGCAGCAAATAATCCATACATGTCTGCTCTGATTTGTGCCTCAGTTGTTTTAGGATCGACATTCTTCTCGACGTTTGTTTCAATATTCCCATCGGCACAAACTTCCTCTTCTTCTTCTCCTTCGTCGTCATCGTCATCGTCATCTTCCCCATCAACTACCATGCTTGCATCTTCGGCTTCTTCGATATTGTCTTCATATTCTTTGACATTACTGCTGCTTACGTCATTCATGATATCTGTCTGTAAAATTAGTTTGCGATGAAATTTTTTTTTTTAACAATGTGCATGAACCTTGTTTAACGGCATTACCTCAATGTTGGGAATGTCCTCTTTAATCTCATTCGATCTTCGACGTTTTATTTAGGCTGTTAATATTTTTTTGGTTTTCACCTGAAGAAAGTAATGACATGTCTTGCTGTTGTTACTACCAGACATTAGTGCATTGAAACGCATTTGTCGTTCAAAATGGTAACTGTAGCTGGTGAAGCGGAACTCGACTCCTTGAGGATTCTTTCTAAAGCATTGGTTCATTTACAAAGATGAAGAATCTTTTTAACAGAAAATAATAAAAAAATTCTGAAAGGGAAAAAAAGACCTTTTTTATGATGAGATGATAATTTTATTTTTAACTGTGAACCTTTTTTTTTTTAAATAAAGTTGACGCCAGCCCTATTTTCCTCTATATTAAAGAGTGTATTTACGATCGAAAGTCTACATTATTCATGATATCTTCGTATCATATATAAACAACCTGTTTTACTTTTAGGGCACCTAGCAGTGGGGCATAAAATGTAAAATTAAGGTTTTTGCCTCGAGCAATCTCCTGAACCTTTTGTTTGTTTTACCTTTACAATTTCCAAAGAAGAAAATTGATATAGCAACAATCATCTATTTTTCCTTCTTCAATAAAATAAACAATGCCAGATATTTTGACAAGGAAGAAATCATACAGAGAAAACAAAAAATATCTATCCAGGTACACACGACCTTTTTAGTGCTCTTAAGGGTAAGATTTATTTTTAAGTATAACTGCTGCAGTGCTCTTACTCTTCTGGTCTAACCCCTTTTGTGATTTCAGATTACCATCGATTAGAATTTATTGATACTACGGTCTCCAAAAACTACTTTAAAATTGAATTTAAAAAAATCGGTTCACTACAACGCGATACCCATTTGAACGATTATTAAATATTAAACACCATAGCTCCTTTTTTCGTACGACATTATTCCCTTCAATTTTAGATGGCTTAAACTATTTAACCGGCTTCTCATTTTTTCATAAAAAAAAGAGGTACCAATTTTCTAAAAATCCTCCACCAGTTCCATGCAAATAGAGACTGTTTCTTGCACTGGTTCGCATGTAGATCGTAATAAAATATATAAAAACTTGCATGCTTGCGCTGGCTTCCTATCATGACTCTAACGGTAATAACAAAAATGTCATTGGAATGCTCTACAGAAAATAGCATCTTAGTACGAGGTTTTTAATTCGGGTTTGTGGATCATGCCTCGTCAATTTAGGTTCGAGTATATTACTTTTAACGTATACCGTGATTTTGTCGTCGAAAGCTTTAAATCACCGTTCCTCTTATCTTCCAATCGGAATTTAGGAAACCCTACAAATTTTTCTCGATAAGCAATAAGTCCGGGATTTTTTTTTTTACTCTTTTTTCTCTTCTTTCGTTAAAGCTTTTGTAATGAACAATAACGAAATATATTTTTCTAACGAACAAAGCAACATGATCGCAGAATTGTTCTGTACCGGTGAATTTGGAAGGGGACTGGATCAGTCAACTGGTCTGGAGTTGCCACTGTTGGATATACCTACAGTGGTTGACCCAGGCCAGTTGGCTGAGACAGTCATTCCTGCTCTGCCGGTTACCCATACCCTTGCACCCACTGAAGTAAGGACAACAACAAGTACAGCCACAACCTCCTCAGCATCAGCCTCCGTAAGAGCAGTAGCAGCTGCATCACTAGCCGCGGCAGCAACAACAACTACCACCATAAATAAAAGAAAGTCGTCTTCTTCTGTCTCTTTGGAGGCCCAACGCAACAAGAAACAGAAAAGTATGTTTGCTTGCTCTTTCTGCGACTTTGTTTGTAACCGAAAATACAACTTACAAACTCATGTTGTATTACACAATAAAAATCGTATAAAAAAATACCAATGTACCGATTGTTTTCGTGCTTTTGACCGCAAAGCTGACCTCAAGCGGCACAACACAAACGTTCATAAAAAATAATAAAATTTATATTTTATCTATACCAATCCTATGTTTCTTCAATCTTGTGTCTGCATAGTTTTTTGTTCTTTATTTTGTCTTAAACCCAAAAATTCGAGAAGCCATAGCAAAAATAATATCTTCGGTATGTTTCCCTGGGTTTACTTTTCGACGAAAGGCAATGAGTTTTGCCTCTGTTTAAAAAAACTGTTTGAGAGGTTTATGAACAACCATAGATCATATAGAATCAGAAGATAAACAGTACTTAATATGGATATTGGTCGATGTATTGTATTGTTTGCTGTCCCATGCCAATGTCTAAAATATGACGTTCGAGGGAGAACGAATTCAAAGTAAAAAATTTTTGCTTGCTACCATTTCAGAAGATCTTGCAATAAATAAAAATACTAACAATGATATAATGTCATTACTTCGTTAGACAGCCCTTGTTCGGCAATAGGCCAACTTCAAGTTTTATGGCTTTTTTAAAATGATGCTGATTATTCAATGAAAGGTAGGAAAACAAATACAAATGTTCACAATTCTATTCATTGCAATGTGGTAATTTACTAATGATGCCCGGGAATGTTCTTTTCTAAAAGGGTAAGTTAAACGCAGACTGTTTTCACGAAAAATATTAGCGTTATGAAGGGACAGAATTTAAAGCGAATTTAATATTTCCTTTATGGTTTCCTGTCTTAAATATCACAGTTGACCAAAGACGACATTATTGCAAAAGCTCTAATGTCAACATGCTAATTTAAAGGTCATCTATGGATAAACTTATTAGAGCAATTGGAGTTAGATAATATGTGGTATACTTGTATCTCTATAATACTTACGTATGCGGAGTCTACGTGACAAAAGTAACCCCCGGTCCTTTTTTCTTAAAAGGTTTTGCACAACAGTCTCAAGGGAAAGGAATTGGGAAAACAAGTACAATTAACCCATTTAACACTCAAAGAAACTAAAAAACCGACCCAGGGCATTTGGCAAAGGTTGTTCAAAAAAGAAATAACTGTCAGGTAGTGAATAAATTGTTGGGCCTTATAATCGTAATTTTTATTAATGCCCGAATTTACCGTACAAGTTTAAAAAATATCTAGAGTTAACACAAAAACGTTTCTAATGAAAAAAACATTGAAAGCTTCGATTACCTCGATCCCAATGAGTGTTAAAATGCGGTCCAGAATAATTTGAGCTTAGCTAATATTACAGAAGCTGACCTATGACGTTAATTATGAGACACGAGTTAACCCCAGTATGAACGTAAATCTTTTTGAACCTTGGTCCCAAATCATCAAACAGTTACAGACGACGGCCGGAAGGAATTCCATAGCCTTTGCCTTCCTCCTACTTCACTGAGCGGCTATAAATTAGATAAATCAAAGCTTACTTGTTACGAATAAAATACGTTTTATTTTGTGTGTGACTTAAACCTAGGGTTTGTGCGATCTTGCTTGGGAGTCTTGATACTAGGGGAACATCTATTCATTATGACAACAAGATTGGCAGGATTCCAAACCCTAACACAGTAGCTCCAAAGCAACCTTCCGTGCGAACAGATCGGATATATGTAATAGCAGCTAAAATAGCAGTAACACTGCATAGATTGTGGAAGATCCGTCAAGATGCAAGCCACTTAGGAATTTGACGTTGATGGAAGCTTTTTATAAATTGCCTCATATGGCTTTGTGCTCTGAGTAATGTCGATAGCTCTCTTAGAGCTGCCATTTCGCTTCATTAACAATTTCTAATTATGTTTATGCCGATATACCAACTGCGCTACAAATCATGTTTTTCGTAAAATGATTCAGACGTAATGACTTCGTTCTATTGATTTGCTAGTGATGTCTAGCACTGTCTACGGTTAATCTATGACGTTTCAAAAAAATAAATGTTTTGTCTCTTTTCGCGATATCAAACGATGCCATACGTGATGAATACAGTTTGCTTCATAGCTTCAATGCCTTCATCTATACTAGAGCAAGAATCTGAGACTTTTACCAAACTACAAATGATATAGACTTCGGGAAAGGGAGATTCATAGGGGACGAATGACCAATTGGTTAATTTGCCTAAACTTTGCAGATTATCAATGGGAATAATTGTCGAAGTAGGTCTCTTTCCATAACATTTTCTGAACATCCGGATCTTAACATTTGGAGTAGTAGTAGAATGTGACCTCTGAAAAGGCCTAAATACAGCCACATAAAAATTCAAGAGTTTTAAAGAATTAGAGTAAGAAACGAGATTTCATTGAATGAAGATTCGATAACGTACAATTACTCTTCTAGCAAGGCGCGGCATGTTACCTTACTGAAAATTAACATGCTTCTGACCTATTACTCAGGTCATTTGTTTCGTTCGATATGTCTCGACTTTCAATTCGTTGTATAATTAGCGGAAAATAATACGGCTAGACTTTTATTTTGAAAGGCCTTGAGTAATGCTTTGACATGTTGAGTAATTGCTAGAAAACAAATTAAAAGTCAGTGTCTCTTCTCTTCCAATCGGAATGTGATGATTTTTTTCTGTGATGATTGTTAATAAAAGTTAAATTATAGAGCAGTGCTATTTTTCTCACTTTTTTCTTTATTTTTTGTTCAGGATCAGGTAGAATGAGCATAATGGAGAACATTGAACTTTTTCCCAGTAATGCGGCGTTGTCGGAAGAGTTTTTCTAGGAGTCGAGTATGGCAAAAGATTGAATAACTCGATAAGTCTTGCACTTTCGCGTTTGAAACCACCATCCGAGGAAGTCCAGGACCTGTTGGATTATTCAACCGTTCCTGCTTGGTCTCGTGGGGACCCCTCGGACGGTAGCGCATTTGAAGATGATTCAATTTTTGAATTTTTTAACTTGTCTTCCAGAGCTGCTCTGGTAAGAAATTGTGTTGGCATAAGAGAAAGAAACAGCCGTAACATCGGGAAAGATCAGGGATGTAGTGGCCACATCACCTGTTGCCATTAGAGCAACATCAACGGCATTCACCTCCGAAACAGTGAACTCCAGCACAAAGGCTAAAAAATGAAGATCCGATCCTTCTTCCGGACCAGAAGGACCTAAAACAAAAATCAGACAATGGCTATAAATGCCCTCTTTGTCAATGGTTGTTTCAAAAAAAATTTAGTTTAGATACGCACATCAAAACCCACGATGAAAACAGGGTAAAAGACTTCAGTTGTACTGATTACAGTATGTGGCTTGCTAGAAAATCCCACTTAGCAAGACATACAACAGCAGTACACTAGCAAATAAAAAGATACGGCTGCATCCAATGTGGAAGTCAATATACACGGGCCCACAAATTTGCGAAAGCATATCGAGAAGAAGCACGCAAACAATTAGCGCTTTTTTTTCCAACTTTCTTTTCCCCTTTGTTTCGGTTTTTCATTCCTTTTCTTTTTTTTCCAGTTCCCCACCCCTCTTATACTTATCCCTTTTGCTTAAATAAAACTTAAAAAATACCTAAATATATCGTGTTAATCTATCAAGTTTGTCTCTTCTCCTAAAAACAACAACATACCAAAATGTACATACTGTAGTTTTAAGTAATTGGGAATGGGTTGCTATTTTGTCAAATCAAAGGAAGCTCGCGCAAGTTTGCTACGATTGTAATGTACACAAAAATTAGAAAACGAAATTAGGGACATAGACAAAGCAATTTACAAAAGAATTTTTGAATGCAACGCTTTGTTTGGTTTGTGTAATCTCATGACAGAGTTGGTGGGCCAAATATTTAAAATTTAGCTACTTAGCTTGGAGCTCATACAATCGTATCTATACAAACCTGATTTGGCAGTATCCAGGATTATTATCTGAAGGAATCTTATAATTATATTTGGGGTCTAGTACCCAAACCAAAAAGAAATGATTCATCGGTTATTTCTATATTCAAAACAAACCGTATAATAGCAAACATATGAATATGGCTGCCATTAGATTTTGCCTCACCCGCGCATGCTCAATAGAATACAGTTTTGCTACTAAAACAAACAAAAAAAGCATATCCACACCATATTGTTTCCCTAGTATAAAAGAATGGAGAACCAATTGCTGTTCGTGATCTTCTATTAAGAATGGCAAAATATATGCTTAGTTAACGGTACGAACTGACTATAGTGCAAGCTGGAAGAGATATAGCCAATTGGTTTTTTACAGACTGACATCGACTAAAACAATCATCCTTTGATTTTTGAAACTAACCATGGACAAATGTTTCAATAATTTTACGACCAAAAATATTGGTAAATATCGGCAATTACCACGAGCCAGTAACGTTGGTGCATTCCATATCGAACGGCTAGGCCTACCTTGATCGCAAGCTTGGTTGTACTTTTAGATCATAAAACTAGCTGCATTATTGAATCATCCCAGAGGCAACACAGCAATCAGCCATAGTAATACAGTGAGTGGACGAAACTGTTCGAGTGTTTAGAAAGTTTCAGTCCCATCTTTGTCAACAATGTGTAAACTCCTCGAAATAATTTCCAATTTTGACAGACATTAGTGCACGCGTTGCTACACCAGCAATAACGTTTATGGATTTTTTGTGTCACAAGAACAGGGGTTATTCTGGGTTTAAAACTGCCTATCACTCGAACAGTTATGTCCAATGCTGAAATTTATAGAAAACCATAAAAATCTTTGGGAAAAACAGTCATATAAGCCCCAAAAACATTTTTCGGACAGGTTTTGGTGGGTAGTCCAAGTGTTATTTTTTTCTCTTTATTTTCCTAATATAAGACTTTACTCATTAAGATGACCAAAAGCATTTCTTTGACATTAAAAAACAAGATCATTAAATTACTAAACGACCGGCTTTCTTTTCGGGAAATAGCAAAAAAAGTGTCTGTTAGTTTGTCAACCATTGCAAAGATAAAAAAACATGCTAATCTTGACATTCACAAAAAAATTGGTGGAGCACCTCGCAAGATTTCAACATCAACAGGCCGCTCATTGATTAGGGGCTTCAAAACAAATGTGAACAAGACTGTCAATGATGCTGTCGAGGCTCTAAAAAAGGAAGAAGTTTTTGTCTACGGAAGGACTGTTCGTCGCATGTTGAATTCAGCCGGGATGAAAGCTGAACATAAGCATAAAGTACTGCCATTATCACCAAGTCGTAAAAAGGCGAGACTTTCTTGGGCCAAGGTCCACCAAAACTGGACTGTTGATGATTGGAAGAATGTTGTTTTTAGTGACGAAACGAAAATAAACCGTATTGGCTCAGACGGGGCTCAGTGGTTTTGGAATGCCACAGACGAAGAGATCCGAGATTGTCATATCCAACATTTGTACAAGCATGGCGGTGGAAACATAATGTTGTGGGGCTGTTTTCTTTGGGAAGGTCCTGGATACATTGTTCGTATCGATAGTACTATGGACAGAAAGTTATACTGTGATATTTTGAGCGACGATCTAACGGCCAGTGTTAGTTACTACAATGGAAATATCAAGGATGTCTTATTTCAGCAGGATAATGACCCAAAACATACCTCGAAAATGGCAACAAAATGGTTTCAAAACAATAACGTACGCGTGTTAGATTGGCCCTCATATTCCGGAGATCTAAATCCGATCGAGAATCTCTGGGCGATAATAAAAAAACAATCTTGCGCCTACGAAACGGCCCCAAAAAGCTTAATCGAGCTATTCGACCGGATCACCCAGGAATGGGACAAAATTACACCAAAGTTGTGTCAAGACCTTATGATATCTATGCTAAAAAGGATTGAAGCGGTTATCAAGGCCGAAGGAGGAAGAACCAAATATTAGTCGTAAAATTTTCCATTGGACAAAACCGTTCTAGCGTCCATAACATTTTATGTGATTTTTGACACACCAAAAATGGGACTGAGTTTAAATAAAACCAATTTTTATTTGTAATGGTCAATTTACTATTGTACGTAATTTTGGCCGATTTTGTATGCTATTATGATATCAAAATAAGAGGAAATGTAGCTTTTTAAAAACACTCGAACAGTTTTGTCTACTCACTGTAATATTGCCAGTGAATACCATGTTATGTTGGATGGAAGTGTTGCGGGCGTGCTTGGATGTTGATTGTGGTAGTTCCAGGCCTGCATATCCATTTCTAGCAAACATTTCTGCAATACAACGGGTGATTCCACAGTTAACAATGTTGCCAAACTCTGACAAAGTTTTCTGTAGGTCTTCCCTGAGTTCATCAGCTCCTCCTGATGAGCGACCATACTGAAGGGGTAATTAGGAGATTGAAACTTTAATGATTCTCGAATCACTGGATAGTGAGTAAAAGCCCTTGAAGGCTTGGTCAAACGAAGGAAGTTTGAAACCTGATTTAATGAGTGAGTCAGCTGCCACTTTCGCCATGAGAATTCAGCAAAACGCCTTTTGCCTTCAGTTTGTGGTTTGGCTTTCAAAACGCACACATTGTCCCCATTTTTGAACAGGGTCATAAATTCTGTAAAAAACATTTTTTGATTGGTCACAATTGAAATATCTACTAAGATTGTGTTAGGAAAGGTTCCTTTAATGAAAGGATGGCGTGACGAACTTGTAAGAATTTGTTCAATTGATGTTGCTGTTGATAAGACAGATATTTTTGTGGTATCCGTCCCACGTCCGATTGAAGCACATGCACCTGCCTTGATTTGTTTGGATTTTTAACATCGTTAATTGCCTTTTCGGTCGGGTTTAAATTTTATCGGAAAGAGTCATGACACAAAAGAGTGAGCAAGCAAAGCCCGCAAAAATTATGACTTTGTTGTAAATTTGACATTTTGTTCGCAACACTATAACGATATAGCGTTTTCGAATTATTGCTTAGAGCGCATGATTTGCCCCTTCCAAAATTAATTTCGTTAACATGAATATTATCAAAATGTTAAGGACTACCATTGATGATGACGGAAATAAAAAAAATTTAAAACCCTGACAAACCACACAGGCAGACCCTATAATGTCTATCAGTGTTTAGACTGAAATGACTCTGAAATGGCAAAGGAGTGAAAATGTAATTAAAATTCTCTACGCAGTCTATTATGATGTAATAATACTAAAAGTATGGATTCTGGATATGATTTCAAAGACAATAACGAACTGCGTTTTTTTTGCTTCTTTTTTTTTGGTGTAATGATTGAATTATTTAGGGACTATTGTTAGTAAGATATAGAATATACATTGTCTTCATTGAATAAATGTTCCATGTATTGATATTGTTCATAATTCTTAAAAGGCCTAAGTAGGGATGTAATAGTTTAGATATAGTTGTCATAGTAGCTCGCATGGATGGCGTATAGTGATCTTATCTGCAAAATGTTTTATAGCGATAGTAGTTGATATTTGAATTACCACAAACCTGACTTGTTCAACGTTAGAAAGCTCATCCATAACGGCAGCGGGTACCCATGACCGAAGATGATTTACATTGGCGGTTGTTCGGCTCATAGCAACAGAAGTGCCGTGTGCCAAACCACATAACTTAGACGTTGTAAGATCCGGTGATCTAACGTGACTCCGTTTCATCGTACAGACTATCAGCCTCAACTCTAATTCTAAACTTATATAAATAACCCCCCTTTTTTCGTCTTTAATAAAAACTTCAGCAAGCTTTTTAGATCAAAACTAAAACAACCAACAAAATCCAAAAACCCTAATCATAAACCACAACTTCTTAAAACTTTTAGTTCATTTTTGTTTTATTTTTCTTTAATTTATCTTCACTACTTTATACAAGATCATCCTTTTCCTTTGGAAACGGAATAATTCATATAAAACTCAGTTTTTTTGTCACCGAAGCATCTTACAGCTGTTCAGGCTATACGAATACCTCCTCTGAAACACCATTGTCTGTTTATTAAGATCATGTTTAAGCTTATAGCCTAAAGAATAGTTTAATTTATAACTCAACTCTAAAATATATCATCCCCATAACGGAATACCATCTTTAAGTGACTCTGTCAAATATAATACTGTTATCATTCTTTCTTTTTGAACGGAATACCGACCTATTATCTATCCTACTTCGTATATAAGATCATCCTTTTTAATTCATTCAATCCATAAGGAATAGTTTATTTACTCTGTTAATTTTACACATTCGATATAATTTAAAGACTCCGTCCTTAAGAATACCATTGTCTCGTCCTTAAGCTCACTCAATAATCACGTACTCTTCATCATCTGGTACAATAAGTTCAAAGAATATCGAAAGTATATAGGTTTAATCCACTTCACTTCTCTTCCATTCTGCTCTTATATTAAGATCAGACACCGAATTCGCTTAGTTAAAAGCCTTATTTTACTACACATTCGGATCGCAACCTACTGCTTGGTTCTCACTTAAACTACATATTAAATCGCCTTCCATAAACCCCATTACTGTGCACGTGGTGCTCACTAACAGGGACCTTACTATCTAAATGAACACCAAAAATACTGTGCTGGCTCAACCAATGGAGAACTATTCCTCCACGCAGAAACTTATCAACTTCGTACTGAAGGAGAAGACTTTGAATATTTTATCGAATCACTGTATGAATACTTCGGTATCAGAACCATTACAGTAGAAAAGCAAGCCATATTCCACTTAAAATCACTCTTACTTTGCCAAGCAAAGATTATCTTTAACCACTTCTTCACGATGGACCTAGAAACAGGAAGCTACGCTGAAAACGTCGTGGACATGATCAAAATATTACAAGAGGAATTCGTAAACTCTCGTAATCTCACCGTCAAACACTATGTAACATTCAACCGTTTGACACAATGGCCAAGAGAATCCCAGAAGGAATTTGTTGAAAGACTCGTAGAAGCAGCCAGAATAGCTGGTATTACGGACTGTAAGATGGTAAAACCAGGATTTATCATGGGGATGCACCATGAGGTATATGAACTCGGTGTGTCATTAGGAGCTCGAGACCATGCAGAATATTTAAAATATGCGGAAGGTTATTCCAACGCTTTCGACGCTTCATATCCCCCCCGTTATAATTACCCACCCAACAATGAACAACCAACAATTTTTTGAAACAGAAACCGCCAGCACTACCGAAGCTAACCCGAATCCCACTCCTGCGAAAGAACCTACTGTCGTATTTGAGCACGATTCACTTAAGAATAAATAACCAAATCGTTCAGATAGTTAAATTATGAAATAAAAAGAACCTTCAATGTTCCATACCAGCATACACATGCGTACTGCTATACAACCTCTTCTACTACAAGTACATATTTCTATATTAAAGATTACATCACCATGGGAAAATCCAAGTGTTTATAGGTGTGATTCGGGTTATCATTTTAACACTTATTTAAAAACCTAAAGTAAGTGTTTTGCGCCATCTTTTTGAGTGCTTTCCGCCGCTTAAAGAATGGTTAAAATCACTTTAATATCACTTTAATATAACTTAAAGCCACCTATATTACACACCCTAATATCACGTTAATACAACTCATTGTCACCCATACAACTCACACCTTAATATCCCTCTAGATCCACCATAAAATCACTTTAGAACCACTTTAATATCACTTTAGATCCACCTTAATATCACTTTAGATCAACCGTTATATTACTTTAGATCTACCTTTATATCACCTTTGATTTCACTTTAAAACTACCTAAAGATCACTTTAAAATGAACACTTTTACTGTTATAAAAAACTTTATTTGAAGAAAAAAACATTATTTGGAACTGGTGAAAAAGGTACTGTTGTCGATACAGCTATGCAACAGCAAGAATCGCTCACTATCATTGGAGAATATGACATGTTAATAATACTATCCAAATGGTTATATAGTAAGCCTTACATTACATTATTGGTTAGAAGCCGAGTGCCGTCTCTTACGGTTTTTGTTCATTTTTGAGGGAGCCTTGTTTGACCAGCAGCACTGTAACATGAAGTAAATGGCCCAATTATCTTTACAAAAATTGACAATGTCTTTAATGTTTAAAAGATGACCTTCCCTGGAGGCTCTTGATATCAACTCCTTCTTGATAACAACCGATAACGTTTTCCAAGGTACATATTCATCCATGCTTGACCTTAGGACAGAATTGCAAATGGAGTTAATATCCTTGCTTAGCAAACGATACATACATTCTGCTGTTTTGGGCTGGCCAAGAGGATTTAAAAGAAACATTCCGTCATCACTATTCATTAGTATGTCAATGATATCGGTAACATGAATAGTCTCTGGCTTTTTGATCACGTCAATCTGTTCATAATCAAATTGCATTTGGTCTTGAGAAACTTTTTAGAGACTTGTAGTAGCTATCTTATGTAAAATGGTCTCTAATCGATCAAATCTTTCATGAATATTCTTTATAGCTGAAGTTTGCTCTGCGATGATAGTTGCTTCCAACTTCTCCATTCTTTCAAGCAATGCTTTTGCTGATGTAGCTTGTCTAGACATATTGATAGTATCTCTTAACAGGTAATTTTACTGATTTAAAGTAGTTAAAAGAACACATCACCCCCGCTTTCTTTAATAAATTTCATTATTATATTTCTTTTGGAATGCTTATGCTTGGCCTGTTTATTGAGGAATGATACTTTTTAACTAAACCCCATTTTAAACCGGGATAACAGGACATATAGCTTAACGTTTTAAATCTCATCTTTTTTTATCTTTAATCATTTTATATATTCTAAAAAACATGCGTTGCGATACTTGCCCAAACAAACAATGCGTTCGTACTCGTGATATAGAATGTCATAAAAGAAAACACAAAAATATGGAATTGGGAATTGAAATGAAGGTTAATGGCATTAGACGACGACTAAATATAATAGATGACAGCACTGCTGAGTCATGCATCAATGGTTTGCCCGTAGAAGAACCTGCCAATATTCCTGATCTTGGATATGGTTTGACTGACGATAAAATTTTTGATCCCGTTCCCGCTTCTAATATTGCTTTTATGGATATCAAAGACGTAACTGAACTACAAAATCGATATGAAAGTGATAGGGGAAGCGACTCCAACATCATTCTCGAACGTAGTAGTGTTTTAGAGACAGAATACAATAGATACTTGACTGACAGTGAAAGTAATATCGAAATTGATGCTGATGTTCAAGACTCAAATTATGCCAGAAATCAGTTACTATAGTACTCCGAAATGGCAGTCAAAGGTAATCCTGCGGAGCTATCTGCAATTCGTGATTGCAATTTGGAATCATTGGATGATAAAAAAAGTTTTGAATTTCATGCATTGATGGAAAAGTTGAATCTGAAAAGAATTCAAAAAGAAGAGATCATCAGATGGATAAATGACAACTACAATGATATTCATAATAACCAGAGTAAGCTATTTTATGCGTACTCACTACAACAGTACATGATAAATAATTCTTCTGTAAATTCGACGTAGCAGAAAAATTAAAGTGCACTTATTTAAATAAAAAACAAATGAGTGTAAAAGGTGCCGCTGAAAAAAAAAGTTCACGATATGTGTGTGAATGGGTGTCAAATTTTCATCGACGAGGATCAAGAAATGTGTTCTCACTGTGAGGAACCCAGGTTTCAACTAAACGACAACAGCGTGTTAGAAGCTCGTCAAAAAGAAAAGCTTCTGGACATTGACGATTTCATTGCTTCATACTTTGTCTCTGATAAAAGCATGAGATCATTGTTGCACAGATCAGAGAAGGTCCAAACAAGCGACGATATTGTAATGGAAGACTTTTTTGACGGCAAAAAGTACCAAGAGCTTTTAAGAAAAAATTGCTTTCAAAACCAGTATGACATCGCCCTGGCGTTGTATATAGATGGATTTGTTCGTGGCCAAAGAGGAAACCAGAGCCTCACCATTGTCAAAGCTGTGAACATGAACTTAAGTCTCGATGAAAGGTATTTTAAAGATTAAAATAATTCCATCAAAAATACTAATTGTCATTGTCTGTTACAGAGCAAAAAAAGAAAATCAATTTGTTGTCTGCATCATCAAAGGACCCAAAAAACCAAAAGATATCTATAGCTTCTTATATCCTTTATTAATGAAGTTAATTAAAATGGAGTCTGCTGGTGTGATTGTCAAGGCTCACGACAACCAAAAACATCACATCAAGGTGTATACTTGTCTGTTTCTCGGCGATATTCCTGCCATGGCGGATACTTTGTTTCACACTGGCCATACAAGCAAATATGGTTGTAGAATATGTGATATCATGGGCAGTAGTAATGATGGTAAAGGGATGTACTTTAGTCATAAAAATTTGGACAATGCAGTAATTAGAAGCAATGAAAGTTTTAAATCAGTAGACGAGCGGGTATCTGGGGTAAATGCGACGACAATACTAGTATTCGGCCACTATGACTAATATTTAATTTTATTTGATAACATCAGTTTGAAAACAAAGGGCTCACGAAGGTTACTCCTTTGACCGGATTTACCTCGTTTTCGGCAACATTCGCTGGCCTTGACGAGCTTCATTTGATTGGGCATAACGTATCTAAGCAAATTTGGAAATTTATTTCTGATGACGATAGAAAATATGGTAACAATAACCCATTTCTTTTGGCAAAATGTCATAGAAAAACGCTTGGAATAGCCATGGAAAATTTAGGTACAACTTGCAGAACGAACATTTTTGAAGGGGCATTTTTAAGTATGTAATTGAATTACGCCAGTAAAACAAAAATCGCTAAAGGGAATATTGGTCACATAGATTTGAACACTCGTGGTGGGTATGGACGTGCAGTTGACTGGCAAATGTTTATCTTGTTTCTGGTTCCTACCATTGTTTGTGATATGATAAATATGCAGGCTAATGATAATAAGAGGTATCTGAATACTCCTGGTAGTAGCTTGCGCAGAACTCAATCGTTGATTGGTGACAGTTATGAGCAACATAATTTGGAGATTGAAAATCGATGCAGAGATACTGTTAGTGCTCTTAAAAATTTGTCCAGTGCTTGTGCAATTGCTTTGCAATATAAAATCAGTCAAACAGATATCAGCGAACTCAAAAGGTTAGTTACAATTAGATAAAGGTTTAAAAATACTTAAACCCAATTTTTTTAATATTTGACGGTATTCAGTAAGCTGCAGATATGGATGGATTTTGTCGGAAACACAGACAATATGACACCAAACGCAGTAACAATTAGCCAGCATTATCTATCACATATACCATATGTGATTGAGGAGCTTGGTCCTATGCGCTCGTTCAGTTGTCGACCTTTGGAACGCATGATTGGTATAGTTAAGCAGAAGATAGGGTCATTCTCCAAACCAGCGGAGAATGCATACCAAATCATTCGTACTTTGGCAGAGCAATCTTTTTTGTCCAGAAAAACACCAGCTTGCTCCAAAACATCGCTTACTGGAATCGTTATAGACAAAGCTAACTCGGAGCATCGGCGTATTGCTGAATTCAGGCACCTTGGTGCCAACTTCCTTGAACAAGTTGAACTACAAGTTCAATGCGAGGAAATTCGAGTTGTTCAAAGTATCACAATGACGGGAAGAGGGTGCAAGCAGTTTTGTGCATCAACACTAAAAAAAAATTCCAGCATGTTCCTCGCACACTTACCCATTAGTAATTTCGGTGGAACTGAGAAGAAGTACTATGTCGTTCAGCTGGAGTTCATGTTTGTAGCAAAGCCGTTACCAGCTGCGAACATGTTGAACAATGATGTTTTTGCTTGGGCTAGAATATGTTCCAATATTGAGTCAACTGTTGACGGGAATACTGTTTTATTTTATACTACTAGTTCCAACAGCATGCCACTTGCTGCAGAAAGGGATCATATGAGAGTTCTGATTAACACCAATAATATCATCAGTCCCATAACAACAATACCTTCACCAATAGAAGAAAATAAGCACTACCTTGTTTGGCCATCTATGTCATTTAAAAAAGATGTGTGTATAAGCAATACGCCGTTTTGGTTTTAAAAACAAAACGTAACACTCATATATCAGACTTACTAAATAATAATAAAAAAATATTGCAAATGTTAACACTTGTTGGAACACCCCTGAACACCTCAAACGCAAGTGATGAAAACAAGCTCTT